AAATAAAAATTAAAAGGTAATGTTTGTCTCTGGGCCATTTTCTCATAAGTAGGTATTCCTAAGGAAAGCTCCTGAAACATTCAAAGTCTTACAAAGATAAATTAATAATAATTTCACAAAATCTTGCAAAGTTGAATTTATCACATACTTATTAAAGAATAAGAAACATGTCTAGTGGCTTTTGTCAGGGCGAAGCATTGGGCACAGAATGAGACCACAACTACAAGGTGACCACTCAGGGAAATAGCAAAACAAGTTAGTCATCAAACTGGGCCATGCCTACACCTGCTTAATACTCTTATTTAGAATATAAAATTTGTTTTAAAACTATTGTCGTTAGGTCAACATCTATTTTTTAAAGCAATTACTACTCAGGATGACTTTGATTTATTTAGTGTTAGGGACTGTTTTAAGTGCTTTATACCCATTGTATCTTAACCCTTAGAACCTCTCTATAGGTTATACATCCATTTTACAGAGGACAGAATGGAGGCTCATAGATATAACTGAGCTCTCACAGCTGACACTCAAACCCAGCTCTGTCGGAGATCAGGATTGCTTCTCTTTTAAGTGTGTTATATTGTAAATCAGATTTATTTTTCTCACAGTTTTTAAAAAATATATTTTGATTGATTTCAGAGAGGAAGGGAGAGAGAGAGAGAGAGAGAGAGAGGTAGAAACATCAATTATGAGAGAGAATCATTGACTGGCTTCCTCCTGCATGCCCCACAGTGGGGATCGAGCCCGCAATCCGGCCATATTCCATGACTGGGAATCAAACTGTGATCTTCTGGTTCATGGGTCAGTGCTCAACCACTGAGCCACACCAGCTGGGCCTCACAGTTTTTCTTAACTTTTCCCTCAATTGAAAACAAATATAAAAAAAAAATTGGAATTGTGTTAAAACTTACACATTTTTACAGAAAATATACCTTGTGTTTGTAAAGACATTCTGGACTATGAAATAATTCCTATTTACAAAAGTGAGAAGGAAGAACATGTTTCCTACAATGCTGTGATAAGACTCAGATCTTGAGGCTCTGATGGATGTGACCGATGTATGTGAGTAGGCATCAGTTAGCTCAGTAAAACATGTGGCTTCCCAGCTGGCCTCTCTTGATTAACGAAGCGCGTATTTATGAGATCACAGCGCACCGTGCGGCTTTGTGCACACACATTTCTAATCTGCGGTTTAAAACGACCTCGTGCCTTTGCGTCACACCCACACTGGCTTCCTTGCAAGAAACTTTCAGTTACTGAGATAGTCATGTGTTGCTTTAGGATAATTCTATAAATACTTTTAAAGCCATTAAAATTGTTGCAGTTGATATTTAACAATACAACTGATTCAAATAGTTATTAGGTCCACAGAAAATATTTTCAGCTTGTCTTACTTTGTCAGTATTTCTATTATTCTTACTTGGTCACTGAGATATATATATATATATTCCTGATGCTGTTGTTTCAATTTATAAAAGTAAAATTAGGAGAAATGAAAAAATTACCATACATTTAATCAATGTTATAATGGTACATATTTCTAATTTATTTTCTCTACAACTTGTCCAATTCTGAGATATATTCATTATTTTTGTTTCCTTTAATGTTTTCATGGAACATCCATTTATATCTCATTCACTTATGCATTTATTTATTTGCAGCAGATTCAAATACAATATTATCTCCTTAAGAAATTCACAGTTCATTGAGAAAGCAGACTTGTAAATAGGCATACAAATCCAGCTCTTTGCTGTACATGAACTATTTGTGGGGGTGAGGAAAAGCCTCACAGAGGTGGTGAGAAGTAGCTGTAACATTGGGAAAGGTTGCTGTGGGAGTTTTCAGTTTCATGGTTTTGTCTGGACTCCCAAGTTAGGTGATAAGAATCTGGGGTGAAATCAGTTCTGATTAACATTTATTCCCCATTGTTTCTGCAGCTAGATACTGTTACAGCTCTCTATTGGCCTGTCATTCCCAATCTAATAAACAAGGCCACAGGAGAAATCCAGTGACGGTGGTTTAACCTGGTCAAGTTCTCTTTTCCTCACATCACCAAAAGCCCACACGAGGCCAGTCATGGTCCCGGCTCCTCCTGCCCTTCTCAGCATGGCTTCCATCTGAATTGTGACCTCAAGATTAGGTAAGGAATTCTTCTCCATCTCCAGTTCCTGTCTTTGTTCACGGAAGGAATAAGAAGAAGTGAAATGTAGTGGCATATCAGGAAGACAACACTTCCCAAAACTGCTCATCAGGCTTCCTCTCATGTATTACCTGCTAAAGTGTGTCAGGTAGTGAATGGAAATCTTGGTAGCATAAGCTTTTTTTAACTGACTATCTTGTTATCCACCTCCCCCAAAATAATTTTTTTTTCTTTGGGAAGGTGGTGAAAAATGATACCAGGTAAGCAAATAGTAGAATTTACAGGGAAGACTTAATTTATAGAATGAAATTGCAATACACACACACATACACACACACATCAGCCCTCACTGATGGGTGCTAAGATCCTTAAGATGTCAACTTGCCAACAAATTATGAAAACTCCAAGGCTGAGTTTCTCCTCTTTTCCTCATGCTCCCATTACTTGTTATGAAATATGTAGTGTTAAGATGATGAAGATGTATACTTGCGTGTGTATGTATGCATGGTGTGTGTGAGAGAGACACACATACACAGACTGACACACAGAGAGAAGCCATGGGGGCAATTTACTCTTTGAACTAAGATGGAGACACTGGATAGCTCTGTTCCCATGATACTGGTAGGTCCCACACCATCAACAAAGCATTTGAGAGCCAGACTCAGCAATAGGAACAGCAAGACACCTACTCCACTTTCTGACCCTGAGATAGTGGGGTTGTGTGGGAAAAGAGAGCCTTCATTTGACGAGGCTTCAGATGAGACAGGTCTCCATACATAGCAACATTTTACTGATCAGTAACTCATAAACTTGGCAGTAATATTGATGTGGTCAAGCAAGAAGGCACAAGAACAGATCTGATCACCCTGACAGAGGATAGGACCAGCGGGAGTCCCTTGGAGATATTATACCTTGAAAAGAGAGGAAAATAATAAAGGAAGGAATGTGGACATAGCATGGTCAACAAGACAGAAAAAATAACCTAGAAAAGTTGCTTTCTGGCAAATTCATTGTGAAGAAGAATTTGCTAAGAGGGTTAAAAATCTTCAGAGATTTCAAGTAGCACGAGTACTGGAAATAGACTGCTGTAACTCTTGCTAAAGATACAAAGGAAACAGTTTGGAGGCAAGTAGGTAATTTAGGTGGACACTGCAGGGATCTTGAGTATGACCATGGCCTGAACCAGGAAAGTGGCAGTTGAGAGGGAGAGGACTAGGTATATAGGTATATTATTAAAATCAAATCACAAGGAAGTGATGCTGGATTGGATATAGACTAGAAAAGGAGTCAAGATGACTTCCAGGATTTTTTTAGTAAACCATAAGACTGGTTGGCATTATTGAGATAAACAACAGAGCAAATCCACGGAGAGATGATGATTTCAGCTTCAAATATGTTGATGACATGTGTGTGGTATTTTCTAGCGTGCTGATGTGAATAAGTGTTGGAGACTCAGAAGAGGACTGGATCCAAATTTAGATAATGGGAGTCCTTTGAAAAGACAGATGATAATTGAAACCACGAGAATGGGTGACATTATCCAGAGAGATAACAGATTTACACGAGAACATACCCAATGTCATGGAGGGATTGGAGGGAAAAGAGACCACACCAAGGTGAGGGAGAAGAGGCTTGCGTGACAAAGAGGTAGACCAGAAAAGTGTGCTAAGAGAGGAGAAGAGGGTCTTTGGGTTGGTAATAATTAGCATGAGGACTGAGAGAAGAGCTTGTAGACTTGAAAAGTAAAAGGCATTTATTTTTAGAGACAGTCACTTTGGTGCATTAAAGGGAGTAGGTGGCAGATTAAATGGGGCTCTTGGCTACAGAGACCTCTTTCAATCATTTGACCATGAAGGAAAGGAGCATGGGACCAACAAGGAAAAATCACTGAAATAAAAGTGAAGTTCAGTGGCATACGTGAAATTTACCCAAGACTTTATGTGTTTCAAATATCCTGGGAACATCCAGACAAAAGGGCAAGTTCAACGAAAGGGGAGAGAGGATGGTGGCTAAGCCTATTCCCTGAGAAGATGGGGGAAGGCAATCTTAGCAGCTTATTTCACTTTGTACAGAATGGTCCCCCTCTCTGCTGCGTCAGGAAGAAAGGAGGAAAGGATGGTGTTAAGTAGAAAGAGATGGCAAACATCTGATTCAGCTGAGAATAATCCTCCAAATTAAGAAGGGAAGAAGAAGAAAATAATTTAAAGACAGCAACTCCCTAACTTTCAAATACTGCTTTCATGCTCCTTATTTAGAAGGAGTATAGTGATTGTGTTCACTCTGCCCCCTCTTTTTCTTTGGACATTCTGTGCTGTTAGTTTCACCCAGAGAAGCTTCTTTTTCTGTTGCCACCCATCACTCTATCTATCAGAACACTTCCTGGCAGGGAAGTCTCTCAGTCTTTCTTCCCCAGGGAAAGGGGCAGAGAGAGCTCTTGTCGGGGGTCCCGGAGACTGCCGCTCACAGTCCTGCCAGCATGACTGAAATCACAGCTTTTGACAGACAGTTTTTGCATCATGATTTGTATCCTCAAATATTTCATGACATATTTGTTTTCTTTTTTGGAGGGGCACAATCTAATAAAAAGCAGATCCGACCAATGACACTTCCTTTTCTTTCTGTAATCTTAGCAGACAGACACCTTCTTTGGTCAGTTAATTTTATTTTTTTCTATTACTTTACAAGTTATGAGTATTGTTTTAGACAGTAAGCAAACTTACAGATGAAGGAGTGGGTGTTTTCTCCCTTCTGCACTCACAGTACATAGTTTGAAATGGGCTGTATGCAAGGCGTTGGAAAACCATCCTCAGTCAGGGAACACTGAAATGATTTCATTTTGGTTAGCTCACTGTGATCCACAGAGGGTGTTGTGGTATTGGTTTTGATAAAACTTCACAACCAATGGGAATCTTTTTCGAGTTAGTGTGGAGTGGCCTTAAGGCTGGAAGTAATCCTGTTGGCCAGGACCCCAGAGCCATACAGATGAGAAAGGGATGCAGGAAATTCTGTTGTTTACACGTGTCTGTAACACTGAGCCGCTAAAGCAGCCCAGCAAGCCCAGAGGGTAAGATGCTTAATAACCTTGTGGTTTTCTATTTAATTTTTATATTTTCCTGCTGGGGCAGAGCATGTGTTGTTCTCGGAGCAAAGGGAAGGACAGTTGCTTGTAAGATGCAGAATAAAACTACTGTAGGTCTGGGAAACAGAGGGACTTGGAGTTTCTGCTTAAAGTGGACTTGATTTCTTTCCTCCCTCTTCCATTTTCCCACCGTTGGTATTATGTACCCCGACATCTTATCGTACATTTCCTGTCTAAAAAATAACTGTATACTAAACAAAACTCAGGTAAGAGTTTAAACTCTAAATTTAGACCGTAATAGGACATATTGATATTAAAACCCTGTTTTGTAGTTCCCAGTGGATATGAGTTAGTCAATGTGTTTGAAATAATCTATATTCTTAGAGGGGAAAAATACATTTGTTATGTAAACCTTCATAATTTATGCTTCATGCACTTAGAGTTATTTTAATTTTGCTAGTCCTCCTGCTGAGCTCCTGTCATTGATAATAGAAAATAATTCAAACTTAGCACTAATATTGATTTCTTTATGTAAGTTACCTGGGTAGTGTGGAGGAAATAGGAACATAGAATAAAAGAATGAAACCCTATACATTCTATAAAGGAAAGGGATATTTAACTATACAGAAAACAATTATAGAACTGAAGGGGAAAGATCTCTGGAAACCATTGGGAAGTATTTGCTGGTGTTTCTTGCAAAAATAAATTATGAAATGACTGTAGAGTCAGTAAGTCTATTACATAGAAATAGAAGGGATATATTCTTAAACATGTAATTAGAAGCATGTAACACATGGCATTGAAATACACATGATATCTCTCTTGATAGTCTTATTTACATCAACACCAGTTTTTCTATTTTCTAAAATCATGTAAATACACTTTTGCTAATATTTTTGTGGGATGGGGTATTGTTATAACTTTGATTAAATGTTTTGCTGTTAATCATTTTATTGTCAAATATCCTCACATATACATGAAATATTTTTGAATTCTGACTTTTATCAATACTTTTACAAAAGCATTTGATTAAAGGCTAGTTATGCTAATATGTGTATGATTTTTGTGATTTTGAAATATGATTTAAAGTATCTGTGCATCTATTTGAACCATGTGTAAAATGCTTTATGTAAATTATTTTCCTTTTCAAAATGTCAACAAATAATTTTCTTGTGAAATAACAGATCATGGAATGGTCTGTATTTTCCATTCTTCCTTTGTTTTCATTAGATTCAGTAACTGCTTGGTCACTGGAACACAGCTCCTTGGTGCCTCATAATGGGCGTGACCTTGACATTTATGAGGGTTTTATCTAATTATTAGAGCCACAAATGTGATGATGATAATTCTTTAAAGTTGAAAATGACCTCAGGCCACTTCTAGTTGGAGAAGTTTCCTATCTCTTATGCTGGTATTACAAGGTCAATTGAAGTCTGCCAGGATGCCACAACCTTCCAAAATTCCCTCTACAGCAAGATTTTAGAGAAACCTTAACGAAAAGTCCAGCTTTCTGTTCTGAGTCATGAGAAGTCAGTGGGACTTGGGTAATTACTGAAAAGAAAAAGACTCTTTTGTTTTGTAAAAGTGCTTGGAGAAAAGGGTTTGAGGCATGAATTAATATAAAGCAAGGAAGGGGTGGGTCATCCACCTCACTGGAGCACGAAAAAGTACACCTTTGTGAGTAGCAGACTTCGTGCTCAATAGATGGCAGAGTGGGCAGAGCTGTGGAGCATCTAAAAATGCAGAGTAGTTTTGCCCTTTATACAGTGGGGCAATTGCAAATTTCTGAAGAGATGGAGTCTTTGTTCCCCTTTTCTCCTCCTCCTCCTTCACTATCATCATCATTATCTTCTTCTTCATTACCACTTGCCAACACAGAGTGATGTTTAATATATATACAAGATAATTTACATACATATCTGCAATTTTGAAAACTGTGCAGTAAAATGATCTTCATTTTACATATTATCTTCCTTTTCATAAAGGAGTCTGAGGTTCAGAAATGTTAGATGATTTATTTAAAGCCACAGATAGAGTAAGTGCTGGAACCAGGATTCCAAACAATGTCTTTCTGGCTCCAGAGCTATTTCTATTATGCTGCACTGGTGTTTTAGGAATGTTAGTCTGGCAGAAGTTAATCGGGATGGTTTGGAATGGGAGTCAGAGTAAGAAAGTGCAGGGTGGAGGGGGTTGAAACACAGGCCAAAGATCAACCCCAACATCTGCAAATCCACCTAATCACAATTCTCTCAGGTGGTCCACTCTCCTTTGGGAGAAGAAAAAAAGAAACTGATACTGAAAATAAGCAGTTTTTACGTGTAAAATTGGCTGATCCCATAATCAGCTCTTACGCTTTCTTTATTGTCTTGAATGTTGCATTCAAAGGATATCTTGAGATTTCTCAGAGGAAATATCATCACCGATTTTCATCAACTATTAGTTTTTCACAAATGAAATGCACGAGGTGACTGAAAATGACCCTGGGAACACTTTGGTTTCCTTTGTTTCTTTCTGATGTGTAATATGAATAAACGCTTAGTGGCCACCCCTTCTTAAAATTATGGGAAGGCTCCATTATTATAAACGTATCTCAGATTTTATTTCAATGGGTGAAGAGTATATATAAGATCTATGTTATTAATAGATAGTATGGTATATCCATAGTAAAAAGAATAGCACCTATTTATTAACACTTTTCCCTCAGATATCCAAAACTTAAACATATTAATTTACTTTTTTTCTAAATAGAATAGAACTAGTATCTGGAATAGCATTCATTTCCTTTTTTATTCTTTTTTTCCCCAGTGTTTTCAATTAAACCACCTCATGTTATAATAATTTATTTTTGTGACTATATAAGTATTGGGCATTTATAGGATATATAAAATGATGTCTACACTGACATTGTAGAAATGTGCTGTCTACTCTTTTGGAAGCTTGCCATCATCTAAGTTTTACTGGCGTCATGTCTTTTTGCCATGCACCCAAACGGATGAGGATAGTGAAAATGTAAAGATTCATCTTCTGAAAATCATCAGGACTAAATCACTAAGGACATTTCTCATTTTAAATACTTTGATCACTGACCTCATGTCATTTTATTTTAATTAAACAGGTCTAGATTCTAAGATTGTATTTCATAGAGGGCCTTTTGTGTACCAGTGCCTGTCCTCAGTTTCCTGGCCAATTATAGGTGCTCAGTTGTGATTGATTGTGAGTGTGAGACCTTGTAAAAAGGAAAATTGGATGTTTTAGTGGAGGAAGTCAGCCCATCAAAGAGAAGATGGGTTGTGTTTAAGGTCATTCTGTTGAAGTCATAGCTCTGCAGATTAAGGATTATTAATATTTTATATATTTAAAAAGTATATGAGTGGTTTATATTTAATGATATTTGCTAAGAATTTCTGTTATGTGTAGCAAAGATATGAAGATATTTGATATTAAACTTCTGAGAGAAGTATTTTTTTGGGGGTAGCTGGAATAAGAGATATCCTTAGTACTCAGTACAAAACATATGACCAGCCCTGGCCAGTGTGGCTCAATTGGTTGGGTGTCATCCCATGTACTGAAACATTGCTGGTTTGATTCCTGGTCAGGGCACATCCCTTGGCTGAGGACTCGGTCACTGGTTTGGGGAGAACAGGAGGCAGTCAGTCTATGTCTCATTCTCACATTGATGTTTCTCTTTCTTCCTGTCCCATCCTCTCCCCTAAAATCAATTTTAAAATCTTTTTTAAAAAATCAAACATATGACCATTGCAGAATAAATGGTATTTTATTGTAATGTTTGCTTTTAATTTGTAAAATTAAAACTTAAAAAAAATAGAAGTGAGTCCATTAGTCACTGGCCAGTGAGCATGTTTTTAGGCTGCAGTAACCCTTAAAAATGTCAGGTAAGGTAAAGTGGAAATATTTCAATGAAAAAGAGCCTGAGACAAATTTAGACTGTTTTTATGTAGAAATAATTTTGAGGAGTTTCCCTACAATCTTTCATTTCCTTCTTCAGTGAATTTAGGATTATGAAGGCATATGTTAAAAGTTGAATTTATGATGGTCTCAAGAGATTTAATGGATTTATTATTCAGCATTTATTCATGGATTCCTGTCTTCTTTTTCCTCAGCTTCTGGATGAGATGAAAATATAACTCATAAATGAAGAGTGAGAATTATAATTGTTTGGTGGAATAATACTTGGTGTGAAAGGAGAGGAGAGGGACATATGAAAGTGTCAGACAAAAATGGAGTTTGATGTTCTGGAAGATTCTATCTGTAAGCTCTTCCTAATTAGGAGGTAGAGTAATCACAAGGATTTTCTAAGTGTTCGTATATGCTTCTTGAACTTTCTTTGTGGTCATAGTCAATGGTGAGACTGAATTGGGCCCAAAATAAGCTCCTTAGGGTCTCTCTCATCATATTTCTGATGCTCCCCCAGTTTCTCTATTCTTTTGTTAATGACAGTTTAACTTATAAAATTTATGATTGTATGTGTTGAAAACATTGGCTGTGGCAATTCCAGCATGTTACAAATGTATTCTAAAGATGTTGGTGCTTTATGAATGTACATCCTATCTTCTAAACTTTTTTTAAATTGATGTTTAGAGAGAGAGAAACATCAATGTGAGAGCAAAATATTGATTGGCTGCCTCCCGCATGCTCCCTACTGGGGATTGAGCCCACAACCTAGGCTTGTGCCCTGACTGGGAATCGAACTGACAACTTTTAGTTGCATAGGATGATGCCCAACCAACTGAGCCCCATGGGCCAGAGTTGTCTTCTATGCTTTTGATGTGGGACTAAAATAAATTTGATCTAATGGTGCAGATTGATGGGAGAAATTTAAGTATTTATAGAATTAAAGCAGGCTTCTCACAGAAAGCCAGGGCCTAACCCTAGCCAACAGCAAATTTCTGCTTCTAGACCAGTGGTTCTCAACCTTGGCTGCACATTAGAATCACCTGGGAATCTTTTTAAAATCCTGATTTCTG